AAATTAATGTCTAGATCAGTTTTGAATAAACAATTCAAGATATATTTATCAAACTCCATATGCTGATACATACTGCTGAGAGCTATTAATACATCAACTTATTTTGACCTTGAATTTTCCTTTGACCTTGACCTCACTTTTTAAAATATGTGTTTATCTAAGTTTTAAATAAACCATTAATTATAGTTTTATCAAACTTCATATGCTAATAGTAAATTCATACTGATGTAAGCTTTTCAACTGCAACAACATTTTGGCCCCAACCTTTCCTTTGACCTCTCTTTTTTTAGAAAAAGTGTTCAGCTCAGTTTCATTAAATCATTCAAGATATTTTTATCAAACATAATATGCAGATATGTATTAGTGAAGCTACTCAACTGCATCAAAAACTTCACTTTGCACATTCCTGTGACCTTGACCTCCATCCTTTTTAATTTGTATTTCGCTTAGTTTTAAAGAAATGATTTAAGAAATTTTTAAAACATCATTTTTTGACCCCCATTAGTCCCCCCGGGGCAAAATCAAAATTCCGAAACCCTGCTGTACATCTACATGACACTACCAACCATCTCCCAAAAGATGATTAGGCTACTGTGTAAAATGTAAGAGGAGTTCAGGGAAGACGGGGCTTTTTGCATAAAAAACGTCATTTTTCGACCCCCATTTGATCCCCCGGGGCAAAATCAATATTCCAAAACCTTTCTGCACATCTACATGACACCACCAACCATCTCCCAAAAGATGATTAGGCTACTGTGTAAAATGTAAGAGGAATTCAGGGAAGACGGGGCTTTTTGCATAAAAAACGTCATTTTTCAACCCCCATTTGACCCCCCGGGGCAAAATCAAAATTCCGAAACCTTTCTGCACATCTACATGACACCACCAACCATCTCCCAAAAGATGATTAGGCTACTGTGTAAAATGTAAGAGGAGTTCAGGGAAGAAAAGTGTGACAGACGGACGGACGGACATGAGTAACAACAATATACCCGAACTTTCTGTAGAAAGTGCGGGTATAATCATGTATATACACCATTAGCATTATAACACACGCATTCTCAATTTTGATGGAAATATTTTAGAAATTTATAAAAATTACTATATTTCTTGGCTATTTAGCTTTTGCAAGCCATTAAGAAAAAACGATTAACCCATCTACACTTCTCATCTCGCGACAATGAGTGAACAGTCTTATAAACAGAATACTTTAAGTATAATAATATAATATTGTTAAAAATATAATATATGATAAAGTATAAGAACATTTTACAAATTAAAATTTTATGTATTATTAATATCATATTTAAATACATAAAATCAAAGGGAAAAATTAAAGAAGCATTGACTTGGTTGATGGCATAGTTACCGAATATTTATCATTATCTAAAATATATTTTTAAAAATGAATATTGTTTGAGGTTTTATTAAAACATTATTCATCAAAAAAAATTATCCGGTACCTAGGCATCGTTTTTAAAATTGGGATGGGGGAGGGGGGAGGGTTAAGTAATTGAGTGACCAAAATATTCAGCAGAGAATACAAATGCTGAAAGTGGGCGTCAGCCCATAAATTATACACCTTTTAAAACAGAAAACGCATTATTGCAATAAAAAAAAAAACCGGGAGGGTTGCAGCCCCCCCCCATCCCAAAATGCGTGCATACATTTTTTATACATTTTTAAAAAAATAAAAACCTGACATTTCTTAAATTTCTACCCAACTAGAATTCAAAATTCTTAATTACAAATTTTTAGTTCATCCCACCTTTTGCGGAGAAAAGTTTGCATCTCTACGTGTCTACAAAATATTACATGTATATGTTGTTTATAAATTTTCATGATTTTTCGCATATCATATACATGTAATTATGTGCATGTATATGAATAGGTATTATATCATATAAGTATAAAATAAATTTTTTAACTCTTTATGATTAAAACACTTGCTCTTTTCCCAAGTTGTGTACAGACTAAGAACTTACGCCTACTCATGAGCAGGCCTAGATTTAAACCAAAATTTAGTCTTGACTAAGTCTCCGCCTTTTTGTGAAACGCAGCTTAGTCCGACTTTCGGGTTTAGTCACTGATTTAGTCCGGACTAAGCTTACGCCTGGTTGTAGGCCTTTTTGAGAAACGAGCCCCTGAGGACAACTTATATTGTACTTCAGTAGGTGGACCAGAGGTGAGCAAATGCACCAAAATCTTTAATTACTTATTTTTAAAAAATATTCATTTATATTGCTTTGAAGACAGTCTGAAATAAAAATGACGTGCAGACTACGTGCAGATACCCTGGATCTTTATCAAGTGATAATGCCCATGGATTCTGCAGAATAGACTATGCTGCAAGGCACTAGCTGTGCAAAATGTAGAAACAAAAGTATCCTTGTATCGTTCGCAGCTGTAACATATTCAAAACAATTTTTAGTAGTTGAACAGTTTTTTCATTTTTTATTAACCATACACTATGAACCCCGTCATTATTATCCGGAAAATCATAATTTCCTTTTATATCCATATAGTACCTTTCGTAATCTCCTTTTATAGATTCAAAAATTATCAAATATCATGATGAGAAATGAAATTGAAACATTATAGCAACGATTAATATTTAGTTTAAAGCAAATTTTCAAAATATTTTACTTATCATTTTTTCTACATGTTATCAATGAAGAATTATTTTACTGAACTATTATTTAAAAAAAACTCATTTTCCCATGTGCACTATCTAACACAACCAAAAAAAAAAAAAGATCAGCCGCTGCGATATATAATAATGGGTCTTTACTTTTACCATAACGGGCCTCCATACCCGTAACCATGCAGACAGAAATAACCTTGTTCTTGTTTAATTAAGTTCTTATTTAATTCCATAAACCCTTTCCAGTGCGAGTTGTAACAAGCATCAATTTGTGCTCCAAAAACAAACGAAAAAATGTATTTTTATGTTTTACTTTTAGAATATGTAAAAGTGAAGTTTTAATACTTCAATATTTTATGTATTTTTATGAAAACTATCGGAGCAAGAAATACAAATGTTTACAAAACTGATACTTTGTTATTATTATTTTAAACTGACACTGTTAAATGTGACATTTGTAAAATGGTAAACAATGTAACTGCTTATGAAGTATATATACATGTATATATCCTCACAATCAATGGAAACGCAACACCCTTATCTAAGGGTGAAAATTACATACGGGATATAACTACGTACCAAAAAAGTTAGGACATCTTTTATTTTGCCAAATCAGTTATATAGTTTTTGAATGATTTTCACTCCATTACAGGAAGTTGATTTTTAGCCCTCTTAACAGAAATCAAACATTAGCATTTTAAATAAAATTATTGACACTATTTGGGGTTTTCAATGTATCGTGCCTGATAATCATAAGTATTGTACTAAAATGCCGGGAAAATATTCTTTCTTTTCCAGATGTGATACCTGTATTTCCTCAAATAACTGAAAGCACGCATTTTCATTGCTAATGCTGGAAATTCTCAAAATAAAGACAAAGGAGAGCTACATATGCAAATATACACTACATAATTACTTTATTAGTTTTAAAGATAAGATTAAAAATGAATAAATAAAGATAAAAAATAAATTTACAAAACGATGATACTTCATTTAAACATTAAATGTTATCTTTAGACCTTAGAAAGTAACACATAACTTTCAAAACACCCCCCCCCCCTTCCGACCATTTAATTAAAACGTGCTAGTCCGCCATGTACATCAGAAGCAGCCCGATTTCTACCATGCGTTAGGTTTATCAATGTCTTAATCTAAGAGAATAAATATTCTTGGGCATTTTTTAATGCCTGTTTTTCAGATTTTGAGGTCGACGTTTATCTAACTTGGCGAAGTGCAGTACCCTTGGACTTCCGGTCAAGGAACTGTCATTCATGCTTTTGAAAAGCATGATCCCGAAAAGTCGTAATGTAGTGTATATTTGCATCTGTAGCTCTCCTTTTTAGCTAATCTAAGCCAAAGGCTCAAGTAAGCCTTTCTGATCAAAATTTATCTGTTGTCTGTCGTCGTCGTTGGCGTCGCAGTCGTCGTTATCGTCGCCGTTTTCGTTGTAAACTTTTCATATTTTCATCTTCTTCTCAAGAACCACTATGCCAATTTCAACCAAACTTTGCACAAAGTATCCTTGGGTGACGGAGATTCAATTTTGTTTCAATGAAGGGCCAAGATCCCTTCCAAGGGGATGTAGGGCGAGGCCACATTGGTTGATCAATGTTTTATATAGGAATATAAAGGAAAAAATCTTTATAAAGCTTCTTCTCCAGAACTACTCATGTGGAAGCATCCTTATGTTGTGTAGATTCAAGTTTGTTCAAATCATGACCCCCGGGGGTAGGGCGGGGCCACAATGGGGACAGACATATTTTTTTCTTTTCTAACTCCATAAACCCTTTCCAGTGCGAGTTGACAATTGTAACAAGCATCAATCTGTGCACATTGATGATTAATACGTGAGATTCAAACAGGCTTAAATACCCCGCAATCATCGGTTACTTTGTTAAAATTGCAACTTCCGTTAAGAAAAAGACTGCTCGCATTATTAAACGCAAGGGTAGAAAATTTATTAAAATTCAAAACATGCAAACATGACAGTTTTTGTTCATTTTAATACATGTATCCACCATGACTTGCGGTTCAAACACCTTGCATGGTATCGGATGAAATTGAGGCTATCCACGGCAGGAAATATAGCGTAAATTTACTATAATAGTGAGATACCACTATTATAACGGAATTTACGTTTCCCCCTAACTTGTTCAAGAACAAAAGTCCATAAAAAATACAAAATAGGAGCAGAGCAAACAAGGACCTCCAAAACAAACTTTCGCATGTAAAGTTTTTTCTTATCATTTGTCGGTAGATGAATAAAGTGCACTGTAATGTATCCCTGTTTTACGTCGGAAAATCAGTGCTTTTGCTAGGGAGAACTTATTAACCATTATGCGCTTTCAGACATTTCTCAAAATTCATCGTCGTCAAGGCGCTCTTTTCCTTCAAAAAGCTCGGGATGGCGCTGGCCGTACAACAGAGCTCCTCGAAGTAATACAAGACCTGGTTCAAACAAACCAAACACAGAATAATCAGAGAAATGTCGTCGTACTCGTTCTTGGAGCAAACCCGAATCTGAAAATCTTCCGGCCAAAATTAACCAGTTGACGTCACTAACTTCTTTCAGTGCAATGTCAATCTGCGCCAGAATTTGCTCACAAGATGGTTCAAACAATTCTACCAGTAGTGCCATATCGATTATAAGCTTATCTTCATTTCTCCTTATTTTATTTTCAAGCTGCTGCGCATGGCTCTGTTCGCATTTTTTTGCGATCAATTGGTTGAGAATAAAAGGAATTCGAAGTGTAATTGATGCAGCAGCATCAATGTCTTCTTCTGCAATCCTTTTCTTATTTTCAAAATCTCGCACAAGATCTATGTAGGCTGGTTGGTAGTTATCCTTTAACTCTTTCATTAACGTCTGTCCAAAGAAATGCTTTAGTAATGCATCAAATTCATCATCAACACGCAATCCACCACAATCTGATATTTGTAATGCGTATATCTGTTCTGTTTTGCCATTAAAATCTACTACATGACCAATCACATTGACCCTCAAACCTAGAAGCAAAAGACAATGTAAATAAAAATCCATAATATTTCCCTTCTACGTTCAAGATATTCATAATAAACAAAATAAGTTTTTGAATAAAATATTTTAATTTCTTTTATCTTATGAAAAGAAATTATGTTAATGCTTCCAAAGAAAAAGCGCATTGGTCTCGAAAGCAAATTGAAAGGATGGGGGGGGGGGGTGAGGCTAGGTAAAACAAAATTAAACGTACAAAACAAAATGGAAACGTGTCCTTTGCCCAAGCATATCTTTCAATGCCTAATTCTTTTTCAAATATTACAAACCTGTTTGGCCTAAACTGCGGCGACGTGCCTGCTGTAAGCAGGATGCAGAAATTGGCCGCTCCGCATGTAGATTGTTATTTTTCAATTAACCTGTTTAATCTCATGTGTGATTTTTATAATTAGATGCGAAAATTGGCCGAAGGCTCAAGTGAGCTTTCCTGATCACATTTTGTCCGGCGTCCGGAGTCTGTCTGTCTGTCCGTCTGTCTGTGAACTTTTCACATTTTCGACTTCTACTCAAGAACCGCTGGGCCAATTTCAACCAAACTTGCCACAAAGCATCCTTAGGTGAAGGGGATTCAAGTTTGTTCAAATGTAGAACCACGCCCTCATTCAAGGGGAGATAATTGGGAATTAATGAAAATTTGGTGACATGTTTCAAAAATCTTCTTCTCAAGAACAACTGAGCAATGAATGATGAAACTTAAGGGGAAACATCCTCAGGTAGTGTAGATTCAAGTTTATTCAAATCATGACCCCCGGGGATAGGCCGGGGCCACAATGGCCGAAAAAAGTTTTAAATAAAAATATATAGGAAAATTCTTTTAGAAATCTTCTTCTCAAGAATAACAAAGCCATAATTGATCATATTTATACGAAAGCATCCCCAGGTAGTGTAGATTCAAATTTGTTCAAATCATGACCCCCGGGGGTAGGGCGGGGACAAAAATGGCCGACAAACGTTTTACATAGAAATATAAGGAAAGCTCTTTAAAAATCTTTTTCTCAAAAACAGCAAAACCATAATTGATCATATCAATATGGAAGCATGCTTAGGTAGTGTAGATTCAAATTTGTTCAAATCATGATCCCTGGGGGAAGGGCGATGCACAATGGCCGAAAAAAAATTTAAATAGAAATATATAGGAAAATTCTTTATAAACGTTCTTCTCAAGAATATCAAAGCCATAATTGATCATATTTATACTGAAGCATCCTCAGGTAGTGCAGATTCAAATTTGTTCAAATCATGACCCCCGGGGTAGGGCGTGGCCTAAATGGCCGACCAAAGTTTTACATAGAAATAAATAGGAAAGTTCTTTTAAAAATCTTCTTTTTAAGAATAGAAGAGCTATAATTCATCATATTTATAATGAAGCATCTTCAGATAGTGTAGATATAAGTTTGTTCAAAGCATGACCCCCGGGGGTAGGGCTGGGTCACAATGGCCGATCAAAGTTTTACATAGACATAGAAAATTCTTTAAAATTCATCTTCTCAAGAATAGCAAAGCCATGATTGGTCATTTTACTACTTTGGGATTTAAACTTTTCAATAATAAACCAATTTCTACTTTTTCATAGCCACAGTGCTCAAGTGAGCGATATGGCCCAAGGGCCTCTTGTTTCAATTTACCTGTTTAATTTCAAGTGAGTTTTAAGTCGGATGCGGAAATTGGCCGCTCCGCATGTAGATTGTTATTTTTTCAATTTACCTGTTTTAACTACTGTGAAACGTTTAAGTCGATCGGATGCGGAAATTTGCCGCTCCACATGTCAAGTGTTACTTTTTCAATTTTCCTGTTTTATCTGCTGTGTGAGTTTTAAGTTGGATGCGGAAATTGGCCGTTCTCATGTAGAGTGTTATTTTATGGGAGTTGAACTATGTTAAATCTCCCTTGGTCATCACGCATTTAACATGCGCAGTAATTTGTGTTGATTATATAGAGCCGAAGGCGAGGCTACTGTGTCCACCAATTTACTTCGATGATATTCAACAGAAAACATGCATAAACATCCGCCACAAATAGTTCATATCATTTTCTCCTAAATCGATCTAATTTTTATAATTTGAAATGTAAGTAAATGTAATGATAAAGTAATCTTATTTTGGATATCAGATTTCGTTCAAAGTAAAACTAAATTGTAAAGAATCTCCAAAATTTTCGTTATGGAACTCATTTTTAGTGTAGCGTCATCTATAAACACTGAAAGAGATACGAACGACAACTCTACATACTGACGGCTAGCGGTAAATCTAGTCTTCCCGAAGCCCGACTCCCGACGGTCCCGGATTTTAGATTTTTAGCAATTTCTTTTTTACCGGTGCACATAATTTATTCAAAGTTTTCATGAATATTTTCTTGGTTTAAATGAATTCATTAATGCATAAAAACATTAGGAAGAAGCGTATTTATTACTAAATCAGCAGTATCACCTGCCAAAAAGCGGAAAATCTAGTTCTCTGTTATAAATGTTAAAACCAAAAACGGACATCGATGTTTTCGTAGAATTACGCGCGATTAAAAATGACAAAATGAATTATATTTTTTTGTTAAACAAAAGGAAAAACTTATTTACATACCAGATAATTTGTACGCACGAAAACTCTCATATATACCACAGTTTTTATATTTGGTCATTGAATATTTGTTTTTAACTTGGTATTGCTTTTTTCTTTACAATCAAATTTAAGTTCTGACGTACGCCACGTACCATGTTGATATTTCCAGAGAAGTTTTATATAACAAACCTATTAGCTCATTAAAGGATGCTGTGTGAAAATCCACATCTTATCAACATTGATATTATTCCTGTGAAACTGAAATTTTCATAACACATGGGTAAAGGTGCTAAGGAAAAACATATTACATATTTGAAGATGTACTAGAGGTGCTGTGAGCAGTGAATTATATAAATGATCAACCGCCTCTAGTACAATGTACGAACATAATGGCAGTGTCCATGTTTTGCAATGGGAAACCCAAATTAGAACTGTCCAATTTGGACAAATACCCCCGCTGGGTTTTTCAGAGTAGGTTCCAATTCAGAAATATTTTATGTATCTAGTAAGAGGTGTTCACTATTGTCTAATAAAGTGCCCCACCACAGCATGATACGCCCGTCAAATATTGTTCAATAATCAGAAATTGGTTAGGGTGCAAGAAAATCAGGTAACCTTGATTAACAGAGTGACACAGATTTCAATGATCTAATTTCCATTTCTTATCATGTTTAAAATATTGTACATATATATCTAAGAGACTTACTTTGTAGGAATTAATTAAAACAAATAATACATCATATAATTCTAAACTGGCTGTGTTAGAGCTAACAAATATCCATCTTTTGCATATTGCATTTTGCATATTTTATGAAATTGGTAATGCTACAGGCTAATAAAAAAATCAAAAATTAATTATTCTTTAGACTATAAAATTCTAAGTGAGACATGACTGCAATTTGTTGCAAATATATAAAAATTGAAATGTAATTTTTTTTCAATGTCTCTGAATGTCTTTCTCAAGATTGTTGCAACACAAAAAAATCTGAAACAGTTGTCTGTACTTGAAATAATGATATTATTCACTCACTTAACCTCCCGATCAAAGATTTTATTTTACACCATGTTCAACTCCTATGAGTACTTTCAGTACTTTGATTTTTTTCAATTTAGCTGTTTTATCTGCTATGTGAGTTTTACGTTGGAAGCGGAGATTGGCCGCTCCTCATGTAGAGTGTTATTTTTTTCAATTTACCTGTTTTTACTACTGTGAGAGTTTTAAGTTGGGGTGATAATGTAGTATTAATCAGTAAAGTGGCATAATTTGACTTTGTAAACATGCGTTTTCGGATTAACGTATTTTTATGTTTTACTTTAAGAATATGTAAAAGTGAAGTTTATTTCAATATTTTATGTATTTTTATGAAAACTATCGGAGCAAGAAATACATATGTTTACAAAACTGATAAATTTGTTATTATTAATTTAGACTGTCACTGTTAAATGTGACATTTGTAAAATGGTAAACAGCGTAACTGCTTATGAAGTATATATACTCACAATCAATAGAAACGCAACACCCTCATTTAAGGGTGAAAATTAAATACGGGATATAACTATGTACCAAAAAAGTAAGGACATCTTTTATTTTGCCATATCAGTTTTTTAACTTTTGAATGATTTTCACTCTATTAAAGGAAGTTGATTTTAAGCCCTCTTAACAGAAATCAAACATAAGCATTTGAAATACAATTATTGACATTATTTGGGGTTTTCAATGTATCGTACCTGATAATCATAAGTATTGTACTAAAATTCCGGAAAAAATATCCTTCTTTCTTTTCCAGATGTGAGGCCTCTATTTCCTCGAATAACCGAAAGCACGCATTTTCATTGCTAATGCTGGAAACTCTCAAAATAAAGAAAAAGGAGAGCTACAGATGCAAATATACACTACATAATTACTTTATTAGTTTTAGAGATAAGATTAAGAATGAATAAATAAAGGTAAAAAGTAAATTTTCACAACAATGATACTTCATTTAAACGTTAAATGTTATCTTTAGACCTTAGAAAGTAATACATAACTTTAAAACATCCCCCTTCCGACAATTTAATTAAAACGTGCTAGTTCTCCATTTACATCATAAGCAGTCCAATTTCTACCATGCGTTAGGTTTATCAATGGCTTAATCTAAGCGAATAAATATTCTTGGGCATTAATTAAATGCCTGTTTTTTCAGATTTTGAGGTCGGCGTTTCTCTAAATTGGCTTAGTGCAGTAACCCTTGGACTTCCGGTCAAGGAACTGTCATTCATGCTTTTGAAAAACGTGAGTCCAGGAATTCGTTATGTAGTGTATATTTGCATCATTTGCATCTGCACCTCTCCTTTTTAGCTAATCTGAGCCAAAGGCTCAAGTGAGCTTTTCTGATCAAAATTTTTCCGTTGTCTGTCGTCGTCGTTGGCGTCACAGTTGT